TGTGTTTTTTATATAATCGTATGTTGTGTTTATAAGAAGTTTTGATATTTTGTAACCTTTTTGTGCAACCCCCAATTACTTTGTTACAAAGTAGTATTCTGGTAATAAAATAGTTGTATTTGGTTTAGACATATATAGTTATTATTATTATTACTATTACTATTATTATTATTGTGATTATGGTTAGTTGTAGTATTAGTATTTATGTAGGGCAGAAATTCTCTCTGCCCCTGTTACACAATCAAAGTGTAACTAACATTGGCTAACATTGTATGGATCTGATGATTTCTTTTTCTTCTCCTTCTTATGTGTGCTGCATTATTGTATAGTTGACTGTTATTCGGTGTTGCGGAACCATAAGTCAATAAAACTGTGTGTTGTACGTGAATTTCTGCTCTATTCTGTTCTGCTTTATAGTGCCTAAATCATCAAGTGGACCAACTGTGAAGTTCGGACCTTTTGCCATTACTTGACCTTTTATTCAAAAATAATGGGAAGGACTGCTTTCGCTTAACCTTGAACCTTCATTATGAAGGCTTTTAACGAGCCTAATCAATTTACTTACAAACATAGTAGGGGGGGTACTGTCGTCTTATATCACAATATTGTCTCTAGTTTAGATAGGAAGATAGGCTTAAGCCACATAGGAAGATGTAGACTTCCTGGTTGGGGTCCTCGGGACAGTAAAAACCAATGGTTGGAAACAATTGGTGACATGGCTCAAAATCGTTGTCAGTGGCGCAGATGCATCCACTCCTTGTGACTTATGATTTTAAATGAAACTGTTTTGTTCTTCGTTATTACTATTCCTTTGTCTCACACCTCTGTTTACTGACTATATTATGCATTTCTTGTACTTTCTTCTCTTGCTTTGTGTGCTACATGGAGTGTGGTGACTTGAACTTCCGCACATATGTGCAAAGTTCTATATCGAAAACCGACCGACCGACCTAGTTTAGATAGAGGTGCAAAATTTGTTCGATGTGCTTTCCTAGATTACACATATCTGCCTTCGACTCTGCGTTGTATTGCTGCGTTGCAAGAACAGTGGTGGCTTACTAATTGGTTGCATTCCTATTTTTCTGGTAGGAAGCAGTACACTGTTTACAGTGATAAGTCATCCACTTACTGTATCGACCTGGTGTTTCTCAGACAGCTGTTCTTTCTCCTCTTCTGTTTTCCATCTTCGTACATGACTTGCTGCATTCTGACTGTTTCTATGCCAGCGGTTATTTCTCAGTCACACTGTTCCAAAATGAATAACCTTTTATCAGAAATTAGTCAGTGGTCCTCGTCAAACGGTCTTAAGCTTAATCCCTCCAAATGTCAGGTGCTGAATTTCACTTTCAGATGCAAGCGTGACTTATGTGAACTGGTTAGTTCGCACGGTTCCACTATCATAGATGGCACTGAATTTGAAACTAAATCGAAGTTTAAATAGCTTGGACTGTGTGTATTTCCTCTGATCACCTTTCCGTGTCGTCCCACATCATGTTAGTTTCCAGAAAGATATTTTGTTTGACGTTCTATGTTAGTAAGGAAGTTGAAGCGATCTGGTATCACTCAGTCAGTCTCTACTGTTACCTATACTGCGCCTATACTTTTTTAATGTTCCCCCCAGCTTAATCTTTCCCGGGCTACTTAAAAAAGACTTTGTTTATACTGCGTAGGGCACTAAAAACCGTCAGTCAGTAGGGTGAGTGGGGTGTTGCTAAACCAACTCGTTAGTACTACTGTAGATAGACAGTTGGATTCCTGCAAGAAATTAGCAAATATTATCCTGTCAGACTCTGAACATCCTCTTTCTCCACACACACAACACTCTCCTTGCATCTCATCAGCTGGGTAGAACTAGAAGCAACTATAGAAGACTGTATGCTCGGACAACTAAGTACAAAACTCTACAATACTGTATTTGGCAGGCAAACATTTTATGTGATGAGAAAAGTGTGTAAGACAGGAAATTACCAACTTACTGAGGAACTCTAAGTAAATGGCCCCACTTTTCTTTTGTTCTCATTGTTACACTGTCCTTAATATTTTCACTTAATTTAATTTTATATTCATTTCCTCTTAAACAATATTAATAAAGTAAATTATTATTATTATTAATGTGATTGCCCTATTTTAATTATTGCCCCTACAATGAGAAAATTACATGCAATACTATACTATACTACTACATGCTGAAAATTCCATATTTGTACCAAAAATATTGATTTTCGAGTAAAGCTATTACTATTATTGTTATTAGAATTTTCCTAGGAACAGCTCTGATTGTCACTTTGGGTGTATTATATTCCAATTGACTGAATAGAATGAATTAATTATATGATAGTTTGGTTGACTGGTTGAAGTCCTCAAAGTTTTAAGAATTAAGGCCTGGGGACTGTACGCTGGCTCAGAACAGTTCTCAGTGACGACGGTTGCAATCACTCTCCCAGATATATTAGGTCTTCATCCTTTTTCCTTGTTACTGGGGTTTTTCTCATACCTTGCTTCACATTATAGGTCTTTTAAATTTATGCTTTACCTTTATGCGCTACATAGAGTGTGACAACTTGAAATGTTGCACATCTGTGAAAAGTCATTCAGTCACCGGTTTCTTAATGGACTGTCTAAAAATAATGTTGTGGAATTCAGCTACATCAAATCAACCATTTGAGTCTTTTTCCCCAGTAGTCCATAGGAAAGCAGTTAGTGACATGTATTTTGCATAGCGAAGCGTATCTGTTGGTAGTCTAGTACATAAGATGGTTTCATGTAACTCAGTTATAAAGGAATTTCAATGTTTAACATCTTCAATTCAGAATTTAAACTTACAGCTTTTTGCCACTTGTCTGACCCTTTTTTTCGACGAATTTAAGAGTTATGTAAGGATTATTGGTATTAGATGGTTGGAGGCGATCGGAAGGAAGCCTTACTTCGACTAGTTTTCACGCTTCTTGGCACTGACCAGTGAGCCAAGCGTATCTACGTCCTTGAAGAAACTCATGTCCCTTCTGAGACTCGAACCCGCGTCACTGAACAATTCACAGTGAATCTTGATGGTGAGCCACCTAGCATGGTGGCCACATTACAAACTGGACTGATGAAATTGAATCTGCACCAAAGATAAGACTAGACACATTATACTCGTTACTGACCAGTGTTCAATCACACAAAAATAATGTCAACATTAAATGTAGTACTTGAATATTTCAGATTTGGTCATGGATTAGCATCGTCAGTTTGAGAACCAGTGGAAATAAGGGAGTACTGGACAGCTGTTTTAGCCTAGTTTGGTACTCTTCACCGTGGATTGAACCCCGGGACATTCAGTTTACCAGGTGAGTATCTGTCAACCAAATCAAGCACTGGAACAGAATCCAATCGTCCTTGCACCCGAGATGTTGTGGACTCCATTGCTCACCACTTTTCTACCTACCAACCAACACTTAAATTCTTGAGCATTATTTTTTCAAGTCAATGGATAAAGTCAGAATTGAATCGACGCTTATTTGGGTTTATGAAAATAGAGTTTATGAATCATACAATAGACTGAGAGCAGTGTTTTCGAGTCATTCGGAAAAAACAGTCACCTAGTGACTGGCTTCAGCATAGAACTTCGCATCGAAGTGCACCAGCTCAAGTCGCCACACTCCATGTAGCACACAAAGGAAGGAGAAAATTCGAAAGTACGATAAAAGCAGAAATGTCAGGGAAAAAGAGCAGTAACATGGAAAAACATGCCGGTTTAGAAAATATGGGAGATTTTGACTGAACACTAATTAATTAGCAACCAGTGTAATGTGTCTAATTCTTTATTTGGTACAGACTGAATTCTATCAGTCAGTTTTGCAATATGACCATTATTCTAGGTGGCTCGATATCACGGTCCACTGTGAATTGGTGTTATTCGATGGTTGGAGGCCATCGGCAAGAAACCCTGCTTATTGGTTGGAAGGCATTAAAGAGAGAACGATTTTGAGCCATATCACTAATTTCCCCTAGGAATTGTACTTTGGAATCTGAATGCCCCCCCAGCCAGGTAGCCTACACCTCCCTATATGGCCCAAACTAGTTGTCGAAGATCTCATGGACTGATGAAGCCATGTTTTGGTTTGACCACCACTAACTCTTTCACAACGTAATCCTATGTCAGCCAACATTACTTGTCGAGGGAAGTGATGACTAGTTCTACGTAACGCTTGTCTTAGCTATCTCAATCGATATAGTCTCACAACCTCACTGAATGACCCTATTATGCTACTTAACACACGAGATACAACATCGAAGACAGCTACTCTTTTCATATCTTCCACCTTCACTGACCACGTCTCACAGCCATAAAGGAAGATGGAGCAAACTGATGCTGTCCAGTCAGCACGTCCATTGATCGGATAACCAGCCAGCTGGATATCACCTCTACTAAGTCCCAAAGATTGTATACGTTGGCCAATTCCAAATGAGCCTTTTTGCATCCGCTTTGAAATCTCGTCAGCGATCAGCCCGTATTGCGGACTGATAAAAGTCTTCGCCTATCCCATACATTAGAAAAGACTATACTATTTATCTTTTAGATCAGAGAGTGACTTTCTAAATTCATCTGTAGACGACGACGAGGAGGAGAAGGGTATTGGTCCACCGAGGGAGAGGGCTCTTGAGTGGTTGCGCCACAGGATGATACTGCATGTCGGTCTCGTCTCGCAAGAGGCAGGGATAGGTGTGTTCGGTTCTCCTGAAAACCAGTACCCGGTCAATGGGTGTACGATACTAAATTTGTAAATTCATCTGTAGACGAGGAGGAGGATATATGTATCTTGTAATATCTACTGCTTATATGAAGGATAATTAAGATTTGCATAATCGATGCCTCTTTTTTTCTCTATGTGATTTATTTTTCGGATTATTATAATGATTATTATTACTATACTGTCTTCCATCCCATTAACTTTAATTCTTCCCTTTCTCTTGTATTTCCACACACATATACACACACACGCATACACGTATGACAGGTTGAAATGCGTAATTACGGTGAATTTTTCAGTGCTATCTGTGGATTTTTTGTTGTCGATGATTTTATCCGGCATACACTGTCTGGTTCATCAGCATTCTATCAAACATATCTAGATGAATTATGGGTGCATACAGTGAATCGCTTGGTGGATTTTGTTCATGCCAATGCTAAATCGTGTAAATCACCAAATGATTTAATTAAATTAAAAGATTATTTAATTATATTTGAGAGAACTATGGAGAATTTAGGTTTTCCAATATCCGGTCTATCAGAGACAATTGGTATTGTTCAACGCTACTATCATCGTCTACTGGCTAGTCAATGGAAATCAAAGTAAGTTCTCAATCCCCCTCTTCTTCTTTTTCTTTTTTTGTCTAATGAACAAAGAATACTGCATGCATACAACTGTATTCTCTTTTATGAATAATATGTGGGGTACCATCATTGTCTATTTCGTTGGCTTCTCATCAGCCATAGGCTGCTTACAGCCTAAATAAATTTTACTTTTATTGAGTCGGTGGCATAGTGGTAGAATGCTCGCCAACAACCACGCCTCATGTGGTCCGGGGTTCGATCCCCGGCCGCCAACCCACTTTGTTACCTCACTAAGCCAGTAATAAGACTGGTCTAGAGGGAAGGTTGGGCATGAAGCGTGCTAGCAACCGTATCCCGTAAAAGTAAACACCACTGCTACCGCAACTTCAAGCCTCCAACTTGAAGCTCTATGTTCCACTGGGAACGTAAAGGAATAAAATAAATAAAATAAAAATAAATTGTTTACAGAAACAGTTTTAACCTCCATTTGACAAGAGGTCCTAGACTTAGTGAATAGGGCTCAGAAAATCACTCTTATATAGTTTCTGCACAAGGAGTTGAAGTTTGAACGAAGTAAATGTATGCATACCATGGTGAAGGAGTTACGTAATAAAGACGAGAGATGCGTAGGATGATGAGTAACTAATAAACTGGGCAGCTATGTTCTGAGTTCAACTTATATCACAGAAACAAGAGACAAGCAACAATACACTATATCAAAAGGTCTGTCTGTCTGTATTCGACATAGAACTTTGCACCGATGTGCGGCTGTTCAAGTCACCACACTCCATGTAGCACACAAAGTAAGAGAAGAAAGTAAAAAAATGCATAATATAGACAGTAAACAGAGGTGAGAGACAAAGGAATAGTAGTAACGAAGAACAATATAGTTTCATTTGAAATCATAAGTCACAAGGAGTGGATGTATCTGCGTTAGCCACTGAGAACGATTTTGAGCCATGTCACCAATTGTTTCCAGCCTTCATTGGTTTTTACCGTTCCGAGGACCTCAACCAGTCAGGAAGTCTACACCTTCCTACGTGGCTTAGACTAACTGTTGTACATTTCATTGACTGATGAAGCCATGTTTTGGTTTGACCGTCACTGGCTCTTTTCCAGCCTGACCCTATATCAACTAACATTGCCCATTGTCCAGGAAGGCGATGACTAGGCATACTTAGCACATGTTCTAACCATCTCAGTCGATGTAATTTCACAGTCTCGTCGACTGATTTCCCCTCCTTACCTAGCACTCAACGCCTAACCTCAATATTGCTCACCTTATTATACCACTTCACACGGGAGATAGAACGCAGGCACCTATATCGAAAGGGAGGTGATGTTAAAGCCAAAAATTACTTAATCAAACAAAGGACAGAATAAAGATATTAAGACATTGCTTACTCTGAGAACTGGATATCTTTACTCTCTCTTTTGAGCACTGTTCACTAAGTCTGGAATCTCCTGTCAACTAACATCATGTAAAATTTGCAAATATGTTAAAATTGCTTCTGTAGGTTAACTTAATGGTAATTTATTCAGGCTATAAACCGCATCTGATGAGAAGCCAACGAAATAGATAACAGTGGTACCATATTATTCTACATAAACTGTTTTTTTCTTCTTTCACTTTCCCAGTGGATTCAAGCTACAGGCTTGAAGTTTCGGTAGCAGTGGTGTTTACTGTTATGAGATGGGGTTGCTAGCCCCATGCCCAACCTTTCCTTTTTACCAGCTTTTAGTTTTGGTCTAGCGAGGTAAAGGAGTGAGTCTTCTGGGAATCGAACCCTTGACCATGTGACGATTGGCGGACGTCCTAACCGTTGTGCCACCGACTCACATATTTCAGTTCTTTAAGTATATATATATGGCTTCAAATACATCTTTCACACTATATTTTACTAGCTATCCATGTTCATTTTGTTGATAAGAATGTTTTTTTATGATTACTATTTCCAAGAATTAGTTTCTAGGGTTTCTGTTCGTTTCAGTTTAGACCACGGATTAATATCAGTTAGACAACCATTCTAGCTTGAAACTCATCGGCAGTACGCACCCGCTGGGTTTTGAACCCAAGACCTTCCGGTTACAAGGCAAACTCGTATACTGTTCAGCTACTAGGACCCGATTCAATTCTAACTTTTACCAATTAGTGATTTTAACACAACCACCAACCAATGTCATCAGCGGGAACTCCATGCACACTACCACCGACTGGATGGACTCCACTAGGCACGACTTCTCACTACAACTCCAGACAACTGCTTCCTGTAGCCAGTCACTCGCGAGCATCAGATTAATTTTCAAGAATTGGTTTTTGTAGGGATTCTATTTGTTTCAGGGTGGACCACGGATTGATATCAGGTAGACTCCGGAACTAGGACGAAACAGCTATCCAGTACTCCTTGGTTTCCAGTGGTTCTCTAACTAAAATCAATCCGTGGTCTAACCTTAAGTTATTCCTATCATATAAATGCATTGGAAAGTTCTCTGAAACTATCTAACTGGCCGTCTGACTTCCATTTCTCTTCTAAACAAACTTATTTATATGCAATGGGCAATAAACCGTATCTCTTCCATGTGGATTAATATTTCGTTGACTGACAAGCTTTGATGTGTCACTCACTGATTTGTGGTTGAATGCTTGAATGAGTATATCATAACACTATTTACTTCAGCTGGCTAAGTTTGTGGTATGCCTTGTTACACTTTACGGAAACTCTCAAAAGCCAGAGTCCACCGGAAGCTTGGACGATTTTGCGAGATTACCTGCACTCTGAACTCTCATGCATCTCTGATGATAATACAGAAAGAATCTGTGTTTCCAAGTCAGTGTGTCTGACAACTGGTAAATAGTATCACACAGTGATACCTTTACAATGTTCGGCTTCAGACGCTTTGACATAAACATATCAGCTGTACTTACACTTTAAGACTGATCAAAGGGTTTTGAAATAGTGTTTTCTTTTCTATTAATAGAATCAAACATTACCCCAAAAATGTATGATGTATTCACACAATACATTTCAAACAGTTTAAATATATGACCGGATTGATCTAACATCATTTTCATTGGGCACCAGTTAATAACTAAATATCATACGTGTCTAGTCCGTCGTTTGCTGGTGCAAACATAATTCTGTCAGTGAAGTTTGCAGTGTGTGGCCCCCCTTACAAGGTGGCTCGATATCATGGTGCAGCACTGGATGATCCAAGTTCGAATCTCAAACGGGACATGAGTTCCTTGAAGATTACAACACCTAGTTCCACAGGGGCTCCCTACCAATTGTCTCCAACCATCTAACAACGATGATTGAAGTTTGCTGGACATCACATAACTTGATCACCTGTATCTCAGATAGTCCACTAACATTCCAAGAACTATCATGTAATGGGTGCTAAGTTTGTGCCATGTATACATTAAAAGTCGATTCATATCTGACACGCACCTCAATTTCTTTATCCTCGGACATTAGAGAATATCTTGTTGTATGCTTTTTTAGGCCTTAATAATAAGTTACTCAATTTATTAGTTTTCTTTGCTGCAAATTAGCCATATGAAATGTATGCGTTGTCTTGTTACTGCTTGTAGCTTTGGTATGATAGACTGCCAAAGTCCGCTAGCATTTGTGAGGTCTACAGAACTGTGTGATTTAACTACCTTGCAACACTTCGTAGCAACTAATAATTCACTTTGGAATGTTGCTCCACTTTTAGACTTTTAAACATTGTGGAAGTTGATTTTTCTAGGAGTACTGGAAAGAGAAAACCCCAGAGCGCATGTAACAACTTCCTGAGAAGTGTTACACACACGGCCTGTTTGAATTGGTTTTCGACAATGCTCCTGCATTAAGATCCCACCGCTCAGCTACGGACCAACGCAAGGTACACTTTTCAGGGTCGTCCTCCTCTAACCGCCTCCCCTCCCCCTCTCCAGAGGGGAGAGGCAGCATGGCTGGCATGCCAGTCATCGGAGTGAAATAGCTTATCGTCGTTACATCTTTATTCCCTAGCAATACGATTTCACGCAGAGACCCCCCCAGCATAGTGCAAACATCTTACATTATGAAAGTTACTGCTTTCAGTCTAACCGCTATGCAGTCGACTTTACTGGCATGGTAGGAGCCTCAGGGATATTAGTTCCAGCTAGTCCACCACGTCAAGGTTGCGCGTCAAGGTTGGTCTGCAGTGTTGTGACTACTACCATTGTATGCTTTTCGCATATATTATCTTTGTATCACTATTGTTTAAACCTTCTTTCTCTCATTTGTTTCTTTTTCTAAAAATAAAAACAGGTTTGAAACGATAGTTGCTGAAGACAAATATGAACCGATAAAAATTTCCAATCCAGATGAATTAGCCAAATTTCTTGAAGTCTATCCACCAGGTGATACTGTAGAATTCTCTGAACTACCCTATCCTCGTCAATTATGTTTCTCTTGGATGGTGCCTAAAATATTTCAAGCAGTCCGTGAATATATTGATTTATGTCATCGATTTTGTGAAAATATGAATCTTGCCTACACTGAACTAGAGGATACAATAAATCGTGCTACAAATTTTCTCTTTTCTCAATGTCTAAATGTTGTGTTAACCTCCGGTGTACAAATGTATTCACGTCAACTACCTCATCTTACACAATTTTGTATAAATTTAGATGAATTAGAAACTGTATGCGGTCATTTAGATAATTATCTACAATACAATGTGTTAGATGATGCTTCTGGTGTGAGCAGTGGTCGAATACGGGATTTCGCTATGACTAAGGTAAGCTTTGCTTTTTAAACCAAAAATACTTGTAGTATTACATCTTTATACTTGTTTGCGTCTATTAATTCTTCTTCTGTAGTTAGAAAGATGTTTTTTATTCTTTCGCGTTCTCAATGGAACACAGGGCTTCAAGCTAGAGGCTTGAAGTTTCTGTAGCAGTGTTTATTTTACAGGACGGGGTTGCTAGCCCCATGCCCAACCTTTCCTCTTCACCAGCTTTAGTTCTGGCTTAGCGAGGTAAAGGATTGCGCCGGCCGGGGATCGAACCCCGGACCATGTGCATGGTCGGCGAGCGTCCTAACCACTATGCCACTGACGCACACTATAAAGATGCCGCTGTCAAATCTGTATCGTTGATGATGATTGCTGCTTGTATGTTGTTAATTGGTAATTTTTATCACCTCTGTCTTCTTCTCTATGTTCACTTGAAGTTCTGTCTTCTCTGGCTGCCTCGTCTGCCAACCTCTTGTGTGACACTAGACATAAGTCGTCCGCGACATCCACATCTTATACAGCCTTCCTATCGGTCCAATGTATTCCCATCTTCTCGCTCCTCCATCACGGTGTGCCGCATAATCCAATCCACCAGTTAGAGATATCATCGGTGATAGTAGGCGGTAGGCTTGTCATACTCCTGTCTTCCTTCAAAGGCTTCACTGAGCTTTCCGTTGTGGACTACACTTGACATGAGACATTGTCATCATATAGCTGTTGATAAAGATTTGGAGTATTCCAGTTTCCAAATCACTTCGTAGTCAACGCTATCGAAGGCCTTTTCAAAGTCGATGAAATTTAGGTAAAGTGAGATTTGACTGACGTTTTCTGCTCTGTTCGTAGCGATGATATGTAGAGTTGCGATTTGATTGTCAAGTGATTTGCTTTTCCTTTAATCCACCTGTTCCCGTCGGATTTCTGCACTTAGTGCATCTTTTATTCTCTCTAAGATGATGTGACTTAGAATTTTATTTGACGTGGTCAAAAGCATAATTCCGCGCCAGTTCTTGCAGAGGCCTAAGTCGCCCTTCATCGGTAGTTTAACAAGATAGCCTTTCTTCCAATCAGTAGGTGGTACCTCTACTTCCTTCTAAACGTTTTGCGAAAAAGGGCGTAAGCGCATATCCGCTGCGATCTGTGGATCAGTTTTCACTGCTTCCAGAGTTCAAGTTTACACAAAAATAAACGAATGGATACAATAGCAGTGGAGTTACGTAGTAAAGACACGAGGTGAATAAGATGGTAACTAACAAACTGAGTAACCGTATGGTGAGTTCTACTCAAATCGTAGAAACAAAAGATGAGCAAAGTTAAATTATATCAAAGCAGTAAAGATTTAAGCCAAGGATTACGTAATCAAATGAATGAGAGTATAAATGCATCCGGTTACCAGGGCAAGGAAACACTTATAACTGTCTCTTTCAGAATACATAAATCGGATTCATAGCGTTTGATAGGGATTGTTTTGGAGAATTTGCGGAGAATTGGTCTGTTTTTTTCGATTGCTAACTCTAAAGGATTTCATGATGTTCACCTCATGACCCGTATTTTCGAGGTGTCTGGTGATGGCACTATTGTAAGCGTTCGTTCCCTTGAGAGGTAGACTTTTTTGTGCATGTTCAGAAAAAGGGGAGGTGTACTCTTCTTTCTATTCTCCCAATGCAACTGCTAACACAAATACATGTAAATTTGCACATACAGTTAGAGCTAACATGATTGGTTGATTGCACCAAGGACTTTGTTGTCCGATAAACGGAAACCAACTAACCTGCTGGATGACTTCTGGCTAGTGAGGTATTCAATCTTCTGCTGACTATTCCTGCAATATTATCATCTTCAAAATTGGGTTGATTGAAGATAGACTTCTTTTCTGCTGTGATTTGTTTGGCGTTTGAGCCCTCACATCTTTCGTGCTTGTTAATGAATTCCTGAGGGTAATCGTTGCTTTTTTTCAACAATTTCTCGCGAATCAAAAAATTCTCCCTCTAATTTCCCTGTAGAGCATATTCTCCTGACTCTCCATAAGACAAAGTTCTGACCAATGCTCATTTATAACTATTTGGACAAAAAGTATTAAAATATAAGTACTGTCCATTCGATGTAGGCTTTCGGTAAATGGATTTCTCATACTGTAACGACAGAAGACAAGAGTCAGGCAACAGATCGTTTATTGAGAAAACCAACAGATATTTATAGATTTTTATGTACATTATTATTAACGTTACTGTTAGCAGAGAAGCAACGTCTTCTGATTGGTTGTTTTCTTGCTGAAGGTTATTCTGTCATCTCTTTGTTGCCGTTTCTTAGATAGTCCAGTGATATATCTGCGAATCGTATCCGCCCACGCTAAGTCTGCTGTGATTGGTTGTTGAGTTCCTCAAGGTTAGGCTTTGTTATTGTTCTATCTCGTGACATTGACTTAAATTGGTGACTACCATTTTGGCTAGCAGACAGCTCTCACCACAATACTACTCGCTAAGCACAAACACACTACCTGACTTCTTGAACTCTGGTAATTAAAGTTGAATTTGAATCCAAAAGTCGTCACTTGACACCTAACGAATCACATCTACACGTATACTTGAAGGCATATTAGTTTTATTAAATGTGTTCACTATGCGTTAAAAGAAATCGAAACCAATCAAATTCTTGCAAAGTAATACTTGAAAATTAATCTAGTGACTCACTACAGGGGGAAAGTTAACCTTAAATTCCAGTAGGAAGTCGTGACCAGCGGGGTTCACCAAGTTTGATTATGAGGTCAAATACTCATCAATGACATTAGTTGGCGGTTGGGCTACGTGTCGCGAATTGGTGCAAATTAGATTTGATAGTGATATGAATCAGCTTAAAATAGTAATCCTGTGGTGAGAGCTGGCTCCTAGCCAAATTGGTAGACATTAATTCACGTCAATGTTTATGTCCGAAATATTGATAGTGAGGAAAACAAGAACAAAGACTTGCGTAGGCGGATACAGTTAGCAGCATATATATGATCTGGCATTCAAGAAACAGCCACAAACAGATGAAAGATTAACTTTCAGTGAGAAACAACCACCAGTCAGAAGACTGCTAATAATAATCTATAATAATGTACATGAAAATCTATAAATATGCGTTGATTGCCTAAATAAACGATCTGTTGCCTGGCCCTTATCTTCTGTTGTTGCAATCATTTTATGATCGGATAACTATCACTAATGGTCTCCAGTCGTAGAGCACTAGACAGCTGTTTCGTCCTAGTTTGGGACTATTCAGCAGTGCTTATCGATGACCACCCCACGAGGGGTCGAACTCGGGACCTTTGTGTTACGAGACCACTCAGACACTTCGGCGGGAATTCGATAATCCATGAAGTCTAACTTGGTCAGTTCACGATTTAGCGCTATCCTCACCAATACGTTCTATGAGTATCCGCCTGACTATGCCATGGTTGCCGCCACTGTACACGACTTCTGACTACAGCTTCAGGGCATCGACTCAGTGGCCATCAGTGAGCTGGAGACTGATATATGTGGATTAAGAGATTTTTGTTTGGTTGTATTCTCTGAGCTGACTGATTTAATCGCAAAGCTGTCGATGTCTCTCGAGACAACATCTTCATAGCTAGATTTGATTGAATGGTGAACTCATTTGAATTCTCAACCAATGATGTAATTCTATCTCCTGGCAGTCTCCTTTGTTATGATTGGTTGTTAATTTACATCCTTATTGATCGTCTTTATTGACTTGAAATTTGAAGCTTTTGTCGTTTGTCTTATTCTTTATTAGTTGGTAAATTTGTTCTATAGTAATGTGTGTTTGTTTGTTAATCGCTGATATTCGTCTGAGTACTAGGCTTCTAGAAATTCTTCGGCATAATTGGTGTTTCTTTGGTGTTTAAAATTTCTACATTTCCCCAATGCATCGATATGAAGGGATACATATCGTGTCTTTTCACAGCTAATTTATATTCTTGGATTCTGAGTCGAAGAGGATACTCTTGTTTGGCCAATTTAGTGTGTTTATCACAGTTTATGTAATTTACTTTGTAGATGGTATTAATCTTGTTTTCTCTTTCTGTGGGGTGGGTCTTTTGGTTTTTACAGTATTGAATATAGGGATTTGTTAGCTTATGTGCTTTGTTTGTTTCAAACGGTTTTATAATCCTAGTGGTTGTTTCAGAAATGTTCTTAATGTATATGGTAGAAAGGATTTTTGTGTGTTTTTTGAGACTGGTATTTCGATTTGGGTGTGGGTATTCATTCTTTGTGAAGACAGTTAATAGATGTTTCTCTTCAACACTAAAGAATTACAGTGTGTCTAAACTCTTTTAAACAAGGTCTGCATACATTAGTTGCCTTTGTGCGCTATTGGATTATTGCTGTTATAGCTAAGCATTTGGTTCGTATGTGTGTGTTGATTTTCTGTATTCCTGTGTGTCTCCTTAAATTTCCTGTTTTTTCACTTGATTAAGCCATTTTAAAAAGGAACTCTATTGTCCCAAAATAGAACGAAACAGCTGTCCATTGTTTCCTATCGGTTTTCACTGATCTCTCTCACTAACTCATGTTTGACTTTTCGAATTTGACCACGGATTGATATCAGTTAGAGAACCATTGAAAGCCAACCGGGGGGGGGGGTACTGGACAGCTGTTTCATCCTAGTTTGGGAATCATCGGCAATACGCGCCCACACTGGGGTTCAAACCCCGGGACCTTCCGGTTACAAGGCAAGCTCGTTGGTTTGTCAATGAAATCTCTTATATTTGACATTTTTACCTCTATGAATAAATGGGCAACAATGAAGAATGGACACTACAGTCAAATGACCTTGAACCAACCAATCAAACTGATCAGCATTACACAAACGGATGCTTTTCATCATCTTCGTTGCAAGTTTCATCCTGATTCAGGATTAGGGTCAGAGTGTAACTTGCAGCGAAGACTAGGGTAAGTATCCATTTGTAATTCTGAGCGATCTGATTGGTTGGTTCAAGGTCATCTAGCTTTGGTATCTATTCTTCACTGTTTCTTATATGTATTCCTCACCATTTTATTGTATTAGTTTATATATATATATATATATATATATATAAATCAAGTATTGGTTTTGTAGGGATTTCGTTTGATCGCATGGAGGATTTCATCATGAGCTGACATCAGTTAGAGAACCACTGGAAAAGCTGGGAGTACTGAACAACTGTTTCGTCCTAGTTTGGGACTCTTCATCAGTACTCACCCAGCGGGTTTTGAACCCAGGACCTTCTGGTTAAAAGGCTAGCGAGCTCGTAGACCGGCCTATGAATTCTAACTTCTGCCAATTCACGACAAAGCGCGACCATTTCGCAATGTCTTCTCTTCGATGAGTTACTGCCTCATCTTCAACCTGCTGTACCCTAATGGTCACGCACGGCTTCCCACTAGAACCCCAGGTTAACTGCCTGAATAGGGCCAGTCGCTAGTGAGCATCAGATTAATTTTCAAGTATTGGTTTCGTAGGGATTTTGTTTGATTGCATGGAGGATTTCATCATGAGCTGACATCAGTTGTATTTTGTTATATATTTTTGTTTTCTTGTTGTTTTGTATAGGATAATCAACAGGATGGTGGTAGTGGTGGTGGTGGGGGTGATTCAGCAGCAGCAGCAGCAGATATGAGTATATCAGTCACTACACTGAATTCAGGAGCTAATCCACCACGTAGTCGACTACACGGTGCATCATTACTTAAAGATATACGTGTATTAGTTGAAGATCAGATATGTAATCACTTGAAGGATAGTGTTGCAGAATTTATCAATTTGAGCAATTATGATGATATTGATGACAATACTACTAACACGAATACTAATACTACTGTTAATCATAATGGTACTACTGACCAACTAATGCATAAAACCCTGGATGGACGTAATGGTATTAGTTATAATGTAACTAGTGGAGGTGTACAAATTAAACCAACTGAAAGCATTGTCCATTTAACATCATGGTTAAAATCTGTATTCGATTCATTTGCTAATTTACCGCCGAAAATTACTCAAACAGCTTGTATATCTGTTTGTAAGCATATTGCACGCTTATTATATGATGTATTGTTTGGTTCACAAGTGAGTTCTGTGTTTGTTGTTGGTGTTGTTGTTCCTGTTGTTTTCCGTAAACATTTTAATCTTTTTACATTTATATATTGATGGGAAAGGTATCATTTAGAAAACAGAAAGATTGAGCGAAGAAATATTTACTTTCCAATTAGATCCTCATCTCTGGCTCTACTCTAATATATATCCGTAGTATTTTTATTACAATACACAACAGTTTACCAATCAAGTGGTGATATGTTTGTTAACAATAATTAAACAGTGTCAAAATGTCAATGGGTTGATAATTAACGAAGAAAATCAATTGAAATTGAAGTATGCGCTGAAGATGTCGTCTAGCAGGGCGATGAAAGCTTCGCAAATTAACTATGCAGCTCAGAGAACACAACCACATCAAAATCATCCACCTGAGCTACAAATCTTCTCCATCATATCTAAATCACGAGATTCATGAGAAAGGATGATGATGATATACTATTTTATGCTGGTTCCTATCAAACTGTCTCAAACTCTTCTCCAACTTAAATCTTGTATGTGTCAGCTTACATTGCTCAACGAGGTATTCGACAGCTTGATATATGTAACACCACATGTCCTAGCTATGGGTTTAGTTTTATGCTGTGAATTGTTAGTGTCTCACCTAGGGGATTGACGATGGCCTGCCTTAATCACACACCAGGGCTATCAAATTTTCCGTCGACTAAAATGTATTAAAATTTACTCTGTTGCATACTTGATTAATAATTATAATAATAATCGAATTACGTGCATAATTTGCGAAATGTACTCACGCCCATTTTTAAATTGTTTTCAACCTACTCCAGTGATTTTTTTATATGGAAAATTACCGTACTGTGTATAAAAGCAGTATTCAAAACAAAGCTATTATTATTATTATTATAGGGCGTGTTGCCAGGCTATTGAAATACACTGGAATGAAAGTGTCCAAATTCTAGTCTACTCATACTCCTATATGTGTGTGTTTAAGCGACTTAGCAACATGCTTGGTACTTTTACCTCATTTAGTTTGTAAACTGGTCGTAGATGGAAAACCCCTAGTATATGTACACAGAAGAAACTTCTTCATCCCCTCCTTCTACTTTGGGTATAATTCCCAGTGGAACTGTTATCATTATTTTGTTAGTAATACTATTTTTCATACGTTTTATCGTATGACATAAAGAGCATCTCAAACAAATTACAGACCTTCATCAACAGTTGTCTTCGCTCAATACTCAAGATCAGATGGTCAGAAAAGATCAGCAACAGAGAGGGATCTCTGCGAGTGAACCAACTCAGTAGGAACCAATTGTGCAACAAATAAGCGGGAAGAAATGGAGGTGGATTTGGCTGGTCGTACTCTGAGGAAACCAGCAAGTGACATCACTAGACAAGCCCTTGAGTGGAACCCGAAAGGGAAGTGGTGAGTTGGTCGTCAGTGGGAGGGTGACTTGGAGGAGGTCATGTGAAGAGGAGATGAAAACGTGTGGGCAGATTTGGAGCCAGGTGAAGACTCTACCAGAGAACCGAACTCAATGGAGACGCACGGCTGAAGCCCTATGTTCCTGTAGGAATTAAAGGAAACAATAATAATCGTATGACATTCCGCATCATCATCTTATTAACTAACCTTCCATTTATTCTTTTCACCTATTACGTAGTCTGCTTTCATCCTTGTCTCTGTGCTCTTTTATTAACATCCAATTTTTTCCGAAGGTTTTCATATTCCTTGAACTCTTGTCTAAATTTACGCATGCTTAGCTATCGCCTTCTTCGACGGGCAATATTAGCTGACTGACATAGGAGATGGATCAGGTTGGAAGTGAAAAAGCTAATGTGGTGGTCAAACGAAAACATTGCTTTATCGGTCAATGAAATCCCCTACAGTTAGTTTAAGGTAGGCACGTAAGCAGGTTTAGGTTGCCTGTCTGGTTGGTGTCCTGCCTATAGTAAGAACCAATGGCGACTGAAGACAACTGATGATGTGGCTGGCTCAAAATCATTCCCAATGGCTGGCGCAGTTTTTGTGATATATAATACCCCATAAAATTGTGTTGTTCTTCCATATTACTATTCTTTTTCCCTCACTCACACTTCTCTTTGTCATCTCTCTCTCTCTCTTTCGAATCTCTTTTTACTCTCTTGTTTTGCGTTGTGTGTGCTAAATGGACAGAGTGTGGCAGTTGGCGCTGCTGCACATCTGTGCTCAGTTCTACAGTGAAACCAGTCAGTCATATATAATTGTGATTGTACACCTAGGTGGATGAATTTGCCGAAAAAAGACCCTACGCGGAATTGTTTGTTCTTATTTCTATGATTCATTTATCTGGAAATCCTTAATTATTATTATTATTACTGTTCCGTTGGGTTCTTGGTGGAACACAGGGCGTCAGCAGCATATTTCCACTTTGCCCTGATCTCCGTTGTCCTTTTTACCTCACTCTCACAATTGCCCTTAATCTTTCATCATCTCCTTGTCACCTTCGGACTAGCGTCCAACTCGTTGTTTCCCATTAGAGATTATGTCTCGAGCGTGACAGTCTCTTCAGTGCGTGTCCGATCAGTCTCCAGGATATACTTTATAATTACCCATAATTAAATAATTCCCAAATGTAACATTAAGAACACAATATTCAGTGTAAAGACTCTTTTTCCAACGAATTTGTTAACAAGCTGTACAATCGTGTATACATGATTTCTAAGAAACTATATGTCATGAGTAAATTTGAATAAAGGTGTGAATACTTTGAATAATTTTAAAATATGTGAAATACAGGTGAAATGTTTGTGATATTAATAATAATAATAATTTTATTCAACTCCAATGTGAAGTGAGTGCTACTTTATGGATCAGAGACTTGGTGCGTCATGAAGAGCACTTCAAACAAACTACAGACCTTTATCAACAGCAGTCTTCGCTCAGTACCACTGAAGATCAGATGACCAGAAAACATCAGCAACAGAGATCTCTTGGAGCCAACCAACCAAGAACCGATTGTGCAACAAATATGCAGTAAGAAATGGAGGTGCATTGGCCATACTCTGAGAAAACAAACCATCAAGTGACATCACACGCTAGGCCATCGCTCGAGTGGCATCCAACTGAATGGGAAGCGGCGAGCTGGTCGTCAGTGCAAGTGTGGAGTGACATGGAGGGGGAGGTGATGTGAAGAGGAGGGGAAAGCATGTGGGCAGATGTGGAGCCAGTTGAAAACGTCGGCAGAGAACCGAACGCAATGGTGACATGCGGTTGAAGCCCTATGTTCCTCTTGGAATTAAAGGAATTTATAATAATTATTATTCTCGACAATGTTTATGTAACGTACAGAATTTTCAGCCAGACCTTAGCGCATAATAGTTTCTCTTTGTCCAGGATCTTCCAGTAAAATAGTAACTGACAATAAGTCTTGTGACGCATTCCTACCTGACCTGGATCGAAAACCAATCCTTTATGATATTACGTCTTTTCCTCTTTCGAGAAATGCACAGCATTTGGTTGAAAGCTAGTTAAGAAAAGTCTTCGAGTACATTTTTTTGACTTAAGGTCATAATAACAACTGAATAATTGATGTCTGTTTTTGACATAGAACTTTGCACCGATGTGCAGCAGTTCAAGTTGCCACACTCCATGTAGCACACAAAGCAAGAGAAGAAAGTAGGAGAAATGCATAGTCGAGACAGTAGACAGGGATATGAGACAAAGGAATAGTAATAACGAAGAACAAAACAGTTTCATTGGAAATCATAAGTCACAAGGAGTGGATGCATCTTCGCCAGCCACTGAAAATGATTTTGAGCCATATCACCACAAATTGTCTCCAGCCATCATTGGTTCTTACCGTCCTGAGGACCTAAACCAGTCAGGAAGTCTACACTTTCATACGTGGCTGACTTAAACTAACTGTTGTGGATTTCATTGACAGATGAAACCATGTTTTTGTTTGACCGCCGCTAACTTTTCCAACCTGACTCTATGTCAGCTAACATTGCCCATTGTCGAGGAAGGTGATGACTAGGCATATGTAACACATGTCCTAACCATCTTAGTCGATGTAATTTCACAGTCTCGTCGACTGATTTCCCCTCCTTACCTAGAACTCGACCGATGCCTAATCTCAATATTGCTCAGTCTATTATACCACTTCACACAGTAGATAGAACGCAGACACCTATGATCGAAGACAGCTAATCTTTTCATGTCTTCCACTCTCAATGGCCACGGCTACCTCGCAGCCATAAAGGAGGACGGAGCGGACTGTTGAGCAGTACACCCGCCCTTTGGTCGATAGCCGGATATCACGTCTACGCCAGAGACGGCGTAAACTGGCATATGCGAAACTAGCCTTCTGTATCTGTACTGAGATTTCTTCAGAGATGAACCCGTTGGGGCTGATGGTACTTCCCAAATTGATTGAAGACTGCAAGGGATTAGTTTTATTTCTTAGGTAGTAGCAGTTTGGACTGAAAATCTCATAAACAGTAGTTATCCCTCATGTATTGTAATATGTTGCCATCGAGAATTATACTTTGTTACATTTTGAGTAGATATTTGTGAATCAGCCGGTTGTAAACATTTTTACATACCTATGAGAGTTAACAGTGACAGTATAGGTCAGATTGTGTAACTGCAAAAGACAAGAGACTATTAGACTATCTGTATGCCGATGAACTTCCCCTCACATACTACTGATAGATCTTATCAGTAGCACACGTCACGATATTTTAGTAGATTAAAACAAAGTTCCCCACTCACTAGGGATTATAGCCAAATCCAGACACCAATGAGTCCCAAATAGGACAAAATGCGCGGCGTGGATTGAGCTGATAGTCACCATCTATCAATTGACTTCAAATAACATTACCAGACATCGTCGAAGCATCTGCACAAGGAGTTGACATGTCAACCTGAGACCGAGCACTTCAGTCCACTCACCAATTGACGGGAAAATTTAAATTGAATTATATAAAACTCACTCCTGACGAGATAGAGTTCACAATATTAACACTATTATTATTATTAACAAACCATTAAGTAAAGTGTCTTTTTATTTATTTAATTATACTTAGGTGCGTTCTCTTACTGAAACAGGTCTTCAACAATTGAGTATTGATTTATCTCTGTGTGAATCATTTGCACGTTCACAACCAGTTCCAGGCCTTGATCGTACTACCTTATGGTTAATTTTTGCTGATCTACGCCAGCTGTTAGATTTATATCATAAAGATGATTGGGCAGCATATATTGCATTTCGTAAAAGAGTTGACGGTTAGTTTGTTTGTATACGTCTTTGTGTATGTTTGTATATTTTTCCAATATTTCAATTCTTTGCAGTTTTACAGATTATAGATTAAAAACTCGCCTAATTTCTTAATTTACTAGCTGGACTCCCTAAGCTGTAGGAAAAATGAGAAGGTTGGTTGAGGGGATCCAGCGTCGTCCCTACCCGAAACAAAATATCCAACCGAATCGCTACAGTAACCTCAAATCACAGAAAAAAGCTTAAGACCTACTGCATAGCTTTTACTTGAAGATTAGTCACGAATAAGTGACTTTATTTAGAGAATCATTAAAAACCAGGGAGTACCAGAGAGTTGTTTCGTCCTTGTCCAGACCTCTCCATCAACAGGCAACTATGGCCCCACCAGGGATCGAACCTAAGGCCTTCGGGTTATAAAAGGTGAGCTCATATACTTTCCGGCCAGTGGGGTGGGATGCGTACTGTTGAACAGTCCTGAGCAAGGATGAAACAGCTGTCCCAGTACTCCTTGATTTTTAGTGATCAAACAAGTCCTGCAAAATCAACTACATTAGGGATTGAAAGTACAAGGAAAACTGCATAGACACATTTTTAGGTGAAACTAATTAAAGTAGAAAAGATCAAGGCTTTCTCCTATTGAAGTCAACAGTGGAAAATCTCAAGGGTGTGCACCACTGAAGAGTCCCGAACTAGGATTAAACAGTTGTTCAATGCTCCTTGGTGGTTTTTAATGATCTCTCCAGCTGATTTTAGTTCGTGTGAAAATCCACTTTGTAATTAACCTAGACCCTTAAAAAAAACCTATAATCTGTATCATAAGTGACGATATTAAATATCATTTCCAACAAAATTGCAGGATAGGTATGACAAATAGAAAGCTGTGAACTATTAACAGAAAAATAAAATAAATACCACCGGTGATATCAATAACCATACTGAAGTGGTAAAAAACGAGAGACTTGGATAGAGGAGTCTGTATTTAGAATTTGGTATCTCTCTATAGCGAAATTATGTTCACCTTTACTGCAAACCACCATTTGCACAGATCTTCCGCATTGTGGTACTTCTGGCTTTCCTTCATTTTGTGTGTTTCTTTGTGTTCCTTACACGTTTCCCATTTATCTCCATGACGCTGTATCATTTGCTTTCTCGGACATCACATGTATCTCCCTGCTGCTTGATGTTTTTATGCTGACCGATGAACATCTCTTTATATACTACTGATAAATCTTATCAGTAGTACTCGCCACAATACTACAAAGTAGTTTTAGCCTAAAACTATGCGTAAAGAATCCACCTAAGTCTATGATACTGTTATTCAGATACATTTTACTCATTATTCTGATGCCACTGGGTAATGTGACTGTTTAGAAAGGCTACAATAATAGTAGTAGTATGAAGTTGAGAAAAACAAATAAATAAAACACAAAATAATTGAGCAAAGAATATCCTTTTCGATAAATTCCTCTTCTGGCTCTACAATTATATATGCATGTTTATATACATAGAATATTCTAGATTAGTAGTCAATAACAATATTGCTGTTTTTTAAATAATATCGATTTGTAAAGTAAGATCACAATGGAATTACCACAGTTCATTAAACATGCTTAAATTGTAATAATAATAACAATAATAATAATAAAGATGTAATAGCAAATAAAATATCAACTAAAATTAGGAAAATTCCACAAAATTCAGGATCATTCGAACCTAGATGGCCAAGGTAAGGATAATATCTGAACTAACTTCTTTTGGACGCGTAAATTAGGTTTCTTAATGTTGATCCCAATACCCTCAGCAATTTTTAGCAGTCGAACTCTTAAGGCAAAATTGAGATTTGTTGGTATGCGGTAAATTACTTTCAAAGCCGCCTCGTTGACATCAATCTTGTGTTCTATATCCACAAGATGAGATAGAATAGCGCTACGAATAGATTTTGTTTCTCCTTCACTTAACCAATCACGCAGGGTGATGTTTAGAAATTCGACAAGAAACATGCCTTATTGTATGGCCTATGTAACTGGTTCCCTCCACAGGAGCAGTTAAATTGGTAGATACACATAGAAGAGTCGAAATTAGGCAGTTTATCTTTTACTCCCAAACGCATAATTCTGCAGCAGGGAATGCTGTTTTTATCTGCGGAAACAGTAAAAAATCGACTGTCGCTCTCACTTAGGAAGACCTTCTTCGCAGCTGAACTACGACTAACCTTCTCCACAAAACCTATGATTCATGTGAACGTGAAGGATAAGCTACCGCTGCTGGCCTCATCAATGTGCATTTATCAATTCACCTGCTCGTGTGGAGCCAGGTATGTCGGCCGTACCCAGCGCTCGCTTTCCAAACGTATCACCGAGCACTTACCAACATGGTTTTACAAAGGAGAAAATCGATGCCCCCGCAGTTCCTTCTTAGAACATCTGATAGAATCCGGACACCAAGCTACACCGCAAACAAACTTCAAAGTTGTCTACAGAGTAAGAAGTAGTCTCCCTAAAGGTGTACGAATCAGACTTCTTCAAACTGCAGAAGCAATGGCGATTCACTTGCTAAGTCCTGAACTCTGCATACAGGAGAAGTTCGTTCAATCACTACACTTGCAATGGACGTAATCTATCTTAATAGCCGACATGTAAATTCTACCTAATCTTTTCTTCTGTCTCTTCATTAGTATTATTTGGTCTTCTCAATTGTAACGTTTTGCATTTTCAACTTTCTTGTTCTCTACCCCCACCCGATTCAATTTCTACACCTCACTACCACTATTACTGACTTGAACAACGCTCAGTTTCTAGTCATTCATGTTACGTCATCCAACTTATTCACTCAATTTCACTTCTACTTAATCTCTACCTGTAATTACTTCTGTTGCTATCCTGACCTAAGTTGTAACATTTTAGCCAATTATATTACGTCATCTAGCTTTTTAACTCAATCTTACTTTAGTTGCTGTCTGATTAACTTTGTCTCTATACTACATCATTCTTGTATTAACTAATCAATTATCTAAACTTGACAAACCTCATGTACATACACAAATATTTATATATAAATGCGATTGTACAGCTATGTGAATGAATTCGCCGAAAAGAGTCTCTTCGCTGAATGTCTTGTCTTTTTCATATGACTCAATGGGGATTTTCAATCTAATGCTGTTTTTACCGCATTTCTAAGTCGCTGTGTTAGTATCTCGCTGATGTTGTCCCCAAGGAACTGCATTTATAAGAATAAGGCCTTTTGTAGGAGCTGTTGGTACCTTGGGCTGCTGTGATTTTCAATTAATATTCTTATCAATATAACTTTTCTGAATAACTATTTTCACTCAGCAACCGTTTAATATTATAAATATTATATTATAAGTTGTAAACAAGACTAGACTAAGTAATCCTAGGAAAGACTACAAAAGCATGAATTCTATGTGTATGAAAACCTGAGTTCTGATAGAAAATGTAAGATTTTATAAAATAATAAAAGTCGGTAATCAGGAATCACTGAAAAATGGGACAGACAGTAAGACAACAAGCCTTAATTCTTTATCCGAAATTATGCATATCCATTGTTTGCTTTCCTTTTTCCTATTTTCCTTTATAATTTACACATTCTATGTGGTAATTTTGTCTTTGAATTTTTTTTCATTTTCAGGATCCGGAAAATATGGTAAGTGTGTGTAAAAATAAAAAAATGGTATTTTGCATTGTTTTTAATTATTATTTTTTATTTTTTCATGTGGTTTGAAAGGCGTTCATTGATCATAACCCCAACCTCTGGATGACAGGGTTTCGAGCATAAATTATTACTGCTCATAATCATATCAATTTTAGTCACACAGTTTCACAATTTTTCTTATATATATGTATATATTCTCTATTCTGTCTCTCCGACTTCCTTTTGTTGTTTGTTGCGACTTTTCATATCTCCGGTATAGACGTTGCGTTGCGTCATTTCGATGGCATGTGTGTGGTGTTGAATCGATAAACAAAGATCCGGTGGTTAACCTCTCAGTCTCTCCACCCAACTATTTTACTTTTTAATACTCTCACCCTGTCCCACCCTATCGCTGTGTGATTACATGCAAGTGAACTCAGTGAATGCAATGGCTGAGCTCTGTTTTCTCTAGGTTAGTTAACTTAGCAGGGTCAATTATTCTAGGTGTAGCTTAATTCCTATGTGAAAGAAAAGGCGTTCAGCGAAGAGTTACTCTTTTTGGTGATATCATTCTTAAGCTGCACAATCGTATGTATATTATATGCATATATATATATATATATATATATATATATATAGCAAATTTTCTTAGGTTACTTCATTCACTTATCCAGGGAGCATTGTCTCAACTACAGGAGGAACAGACGAGGATGTCAAATCGAGAATTGGGAAGGCGAGAAACACATTCATCAACCTGAAACCAATCTGGAAATCTTCGTCACTCCTCAACACCAACAACAAAATTCGGATTTTCAATACAAACGTCAGTCAAGTCAGTCACTTCTTCTATACAGATCAGAAACTTGGCGGGTCACAAAGAATATTTCCAACAGCCTGTTGCAGACCTTTATCAACAACAAATGTCTTCGCTCTATACTGAAGATCAGATGGCCGGAAAGAATCACCAACAAGAAACTATGGGAACAAACAAAACAAGAACCAATCGCCTAGTAAATATGCAGGAGAAAGTGGAGATGGATTGGACACTCGCTGAGGAGGCCGCTAGGTGACATCGTGCGTCAGGCCAATGCTCGAGTGGAACCCGAAAGGGAAGCGGCGAGTGGGACGTCAGTGCAAGGGTGACATGGAGGAGATCGTGTGAAGAAGAGTTGAAACAGTATGGACTAACAAGGATGCAAGTGAAAAGTACAGCAGAAGACAGGAGCAAGTGGAGGCGTGCAGTTGAAGCCCTACGTTTCATTAGGAATCCAAGGGAACAATAATAATAATAAAACTTTTTTTAACAACAAAATGAATATTTCTAAGGATTTATCATTAGAATTGTAAGTTTTAGATAACA